CTACTGCGGTATCTCGCTGCTCTCCGTAGCTGCAAGATCATCGCCCAAGTCCTCCTAAACAGATTACTAACTGAGGCGGAACTTCCTCACAGAATCTCAATGGTGGCTTTAGACCATCACATGGCACCTGACATGATCTTTGCTGCCCACCAGATACAGAAAATTGCAGAAACAACGTCGTGACCTGTACCTGGTCTTCGTTAACCTTACTAAGGTCTTTGATTCCAGTCAAGCCTTCTGGCATACACTCTGTCGATTTGGTTGCCACAAAAATCATCACCTTTGTGAGGTAACTCACGATATCATGAGCGACAGTCCCTACATAACGGCACCCATATAAACAGGAGTAAAAGGATATGTATTGGCACCAACTCTCTCTTCCATTTTCTTGGCTGCCTTCCTTACCCATAGCATTGCCAGTCTTGCTGGCGAGTTGCGCATCCATTACTTAATGAAGGAACTTTTCAACATAAGGCGAACTCCAGGCAAGGACAAAAGGTGTCGACCGCTTCCATCACTGAACTTCAGTATCAAATGACCTCACCCTCATCGCTCACACTGAACGCGACCTATAGGAAAATCTGAATGCCTACGCAGACACGGTATGTACACTTCGGCCTCAAGATGAATGTACACAAGACAGATTGTTTCAACTCGCCCTGGTTCAATTACAACTCCACTGTCTACCTAAGTTAACAGAACCATCCTTTCCAATGTTAGCCATTTTCAGTATTTTGGATCCCACCTGTCCAACACCACTGACATCGATGAAGAGAATCCAGCAACGAGTCATATGTGCGTCACAAACCCGTGTCTTCAGCTGTAGGAACTTCATTATCTACAAAGGTGCTCATCTATCAAGCAGTGGTCCTTCCCCACCCTGCTGTATAGCAGCAGAGACATGGGTTACGTACAGGAGAGGCACCTTAAGGCACTTGAGAGCTTTCACCAACGTAGTCTACGTTCTGTCCTCCGAGTCCAATGAGAAGACAAGAGGACAAATGCCAGTATTCTCGCTTACGCCAAATTAAGGAGCATCGAGGCTAATTGATACACCTGGGAGACCTTCTCTTGAAACCGTGACACATGCAACAATACCGCACGAGAGGGCGTTGAAACGTTAGGAAAGACAGTGTTGCCGTCCTTCCCGCACCAGACTTGCAACATCTGCGAAAGGCCAACAAAGATGACACTTCAGTGAAAATTACCTTTATTTATTTTGTTGACGCTGGATAATCGTGACATTCGAGTAACAGCAGAGAGTGTGTGCATGTAGTAGATAATGACGAAAATTACGATGTTATTTACTTAGACTTTAGCAAAGCATATGACAGAGTACCGCATCAGAGGCTTCTGAGAAAATTAAGGCTCATGGTCTCGAGGGAAAGTTTTAAATTGATAAAATCATAGCTCACCGATAGAACGCAGAGGGTCAGCGTAGATGGTGTTAAATCTGAGTGGGCTGTGTAACCAGTGGGGTTCAGTCAGTACTAGGCCCACTCTTGTTCATAATCTACATAAAACGATCTAGATACTGGGATCAGCAGTGACATAAAGCAAGTTTGCGGATGACACCAAAAATAGGGCGGCAGATTAATTCAGGGCAAGATGCAAATGCATTACAGGAGGATCTAAATAAACTGCAGGGGTGGTCTGAAAATGGCAAATGAAATTCAACACCAGCAAATGCAACCATAATATTGGAAGAACAAATACTGATAATGTATACAGCCTTAACAACATCAACCTAGAGAAGTCGACTTGTGAAAGAGACCTGTACTTAAGCCCGGACCTACGGCCTAGAAACAGTGCGTTAGTGTTCGAAATAAGGCAAACAGAGTATTGGGTTTATATCTGAAGTGTAAGTAACAAGAGTGCAGAGGTCTTATTGCAACTATATCTTGTGCTAGTCAGGCCGCACCTCGATTATGCTGTTCAGTTCTGGTGCCCTTATAGAATGGTTATAAATTCCTAGAGCCGGTGCAGCGAAGAATGACAAAATGATTCCGGACTTAGAAACCTTCCATATCAGGATAGGTTAAAGAAACTTAACTTGCATTCCTAGAAAGACGAAGAGGTGGGGAGATGTGATAGAAGTATTTAAATGGGGAAAGGAATCATTAAAGGATATATAAAGTTCTATAAAATCCGAGCAGGATAGGACCTGAGCAACGGATTCAAGTTGGTTTAGGTTTAGGAGGGATAGGAAGAAACTGGTTCAAAATAGTGTGACGAGTGAACAAGTGCTTAGCTTTGTAGTGGGAACCTGGAAAGTTTCAAAAGGAGGCTAGAAGATTCATAGGAGAGGGTAGTAACTTCGACAGGAGCTGTGCACAGGCCAACCGGCCTGCAGACCCTTATGTTTTATGTATGTGATGGTGCAAAAGGTAGAGGATTATTATGAGGGTGAGTGTGTGTGGGAACTGAGCGTATATATCATCATTAAGTTTGTTATTAGAATTTAGATAGCTTAGTTGATTAGCCATAAGTTTCTTTTAATGTTCTTTTAAATTATTTTACAGAAAATTAAAGAGAACCCAACAAGTGTATCGGAACAAACCAAGAACAAATTACATGATACCTAACCATGTGTGGGACGGTGTTTGATAGTTCGATCACCAAATCTGGTGTTTGGTCGAATGCTGTCGATGGCAACGACCTGGGATTGTAGCTGAATTGTAGTAATAGGTTGTCCAACCTGCTAAAATACTGATATTCCGGAGTTAGACTTAACGTTCAGTGTTTCAAGATTTGTGAAATAATCAATCTTCCAAGAATGACTTAATCGCGTTTGAATGAAAAATCAAAGGTAGTAGTAGAGAGCTGCAGAGAGAGCGCCCAACTTCCACCACCTCTGGACTCCGTTAGTGATGAAGAAATTTTTGAATGTGGTTTTGCCAGATCCCTGCTCAGAGCAGTCAATTTATTGTTGAACTGATGATGAGTGACCGAAACTTTCGAAGGAGGTGATTCTTCCCGTGATTTGTGCCAACTGCCTCGCCACATGCCTGAACAATCCAAATCCATGATAAATTCATCATCAGCGGTGCACACACAGGATAGATGCAGTGGCGTCTGGACATGGTAAATTACGAGGACTATCCTTAACACTCGCACCGAGAATCTTGTTAACATCTGCAGCTGCTACTAACATCCTACTGCGTCGCCACCATTTAATGATACACATAACAACAACCAGCAGTATACATAATAAGAACAACGCCACAGATGACCTCACCAACACTGATAACCGCCTGTGTGCCCACGCATTATATAGTGTGTGTGTGTGCATCAGTCATACCATGAAAGATATCATCAAGAACGTTATCATCATTACGCGATCAATACAACGTGTGGGAGAGCTATGTTGCCAGTGTGTGATGGTCAGAGTTGAACTTAAGACAGAAACAGTTGATGTAACAAATACTGTTTGATGTTTTCCATTATTATGAAACATTCATTACCAGGTTTCATATGTATTCTACAAATTTAAATCTGACAAAAGTTGGTAATTGGGACATTAATATAAGGTAAACCACTTGTAGTCACATTACCGATTTTCATCCCAGGTTTTAGATTAATATATTAACAGTTCGATAAGAAAGCACTTAATATGGCTCTCAGTCTTATGTCGGACCTGAACGTAAGCCAATATTTAAATGCACCAGGAACGCGAGTGTAAACGTGTTAGAAACTTTCACTGCCTTGGCTCTCCCTGAAACCTTTCTCCTTCCTCCTCCTACATTCAACACCGAGGAAGACCTGAACTGCTGGTTGAGATTTATTAAACTCATAATAATTATATCATAAGTAAAAGTGTAAGTAAGAATTTTATATACTTATTGTACATTTTCAACAAACACAACCACACAACCAACACAACCCACACAACCACAACACCACACCACAACACAACACAACAACACAACCACCACACAACACACCACCACCACACAACACAAACAACCACCAACACAACAACAAAACCACAACCACAAACCAACACCACCACACAACCACCACACAAAACCACACAACCACAACACAAAACCCAACCACACATTCTCCTATTCTGTTATATCACGACTTGGCTCTGTTATACCACGTGCTGACTATTCTGTTATACACGGAAGATTTATTCTATATACCACGCAGACTTATTTTCCTCCTGTTATATCATTTACATTTCATTTCGTTGAGCACCATTGATTTATTCTGTTATACCACATAAGTTATACCACGCTGACTGACATTCTGTTGGCACACACTATTCTGGTTATACCACGCTGACTTATTCTATTTAAACCACGACCATTCTTTGTTATGCACCAATGCAGACTTTATTCTTATTAAACCGCAGATTCATTTCGTTGGTACCATCATAGACTGGTCTTTGTTTATACCAATGCAGACTTATTCTATATACCATTGACTTCATTCTATTAAACCACGCAGACTTCTGGAGTTCGTTATACCACGCTGACTTATTCTATTAACCACGCCATTTATCTGATGGCACTATCAGCTTAATTTTATTCTGTTATACCACGCACTATTATTCTGTTATACCACGCCGACTTATTCTAAGCTATACCATTTATTCGGCTCTGTTATACCAATGCCAATTATTCTGTTATACCATTGATTATTCTGTTATACCACGCTGACTATTCTATTGGTACCACGTATTTATTCTATTATAATCAGCTGACTTATTCCAAGCTATACCACGCTGACTTATTCATTAAACTGACGCAAAGATCTATTCTATACTTACCAGACTTATCTGTTATACCACGCCGATTCTATTCTACATAAATACTGCAGGACTGTATTCCGGTTACACCACGCTTCTAATTTATTCGTTGCGCATTACGCCGATTTATTCTTATACCACGCTGATTTATTCTGTTGTATCATGCTGACTTTATTCCTGTTTAAGTACCAAAGATCATTCCGTTATACCATGATTCTAATTATAGTTTTGAGTACCACGCAGA